CCAGAACAAGGACTGTCCTCAGGATCTCTGGATGTTCCCCAATATCCTGATATTCCACCCAGAGGCTGCCAGGGCCATCCTGGAGTACCGCATCAGGACACTGAGTGGGGCCCTGGAAAACGCCCGGAACCTGGGCTACCAGGTGAGGAAGCCTGGGCACCACCCCGTGGGGCCCACCGTAGGGTCCACACACAGAAAGAACTGGGCAAGAGCTCCTGGCCCATGGAGGAACGGGCATGGGCTCCAGAGCCCCGCCTCCTCCTCTCTTTGCCCTTCCACAAGGTCCCATGGGGTAAAGGCTAAGGTCGGTAGCATCTGCCCCTCTCCCCCACAGGGAGCCAAGTTTGCTTGGGAGAGTGCAGGCTCTGGCCTGGAGGTCTGCCCTGAGGACATTTATGGGGCTCAGGAGATCCACATCAACGGGGCCGTCCTGTTGGCCTTCCAGCTGTACTACCACACCACGCAGGTGAGGTGTTCCATCCACCAGCCCTGCCACCCGAGGCCTGCTGTGGCAAGAGAGAATCTGGGAGCCAGGCCTTCCTTTCTGGTCGCTGGATGGGTGGGCACTCGGCACACATAGGACCCTTGGCCCCCAGGATCTGCAGCTTTTCCGGGAGGCTGGTGGCTGGGATGTGGTCAGTGCTGTTGCTGAGTTCTGGTGCAGCCGGGTAGAGTGGAGCTCCAGGGAGAAGCAGTACCACCTGAGAGGTGAGGTGATCCCTGGGAGAAACGGTCAGGAGGAGGGACTGCTGGCGGGCAGCCTGTACTGAGCACTGTCTGCACCTGTGTGCCCAGGAGTCATGCCCCCTGATGAGTACCATTCAGGAGTCAACAACTCCACCTACACCAACGTCCTGGTCCAGACCAGGTCAGACTAAACGTGCCCCAGCCCCACCCCAGCAAGCAGGGTCGGCCAGAAGCACTGAGGCTACAACCTGTCCTCTCTCTACAGTCTGCACTTTGCAGCTGGTCTGGCCGAGGACCTGGGTCTGCCTGTCCCTAACCAGTGGCTGGTGGTGGCTGATAAGATCAAGGTGCCCTTTGACCCGGAGCGGAACTTCCACCCTGAATTTGATGGGTATGAGCCTGGTGAGTGAGGCCCTGACTTCTCCAAGGGCCTTCTGCCTGGCCTAAGAGCCGTGCATCCACCTGATGTGCCCTCAACAGCAGCATCTTCCCCAGGAGAGGAAGTGAAGCAGGCTGATGTCGTGCTCCTGGGGTACCCGGTCCCCTTCCCCCTGAGTCCTGACGTCCGCAGGAAGAACCTGGAGATGTACGAGGCTGTGACATCCCCCCGGGGCCCAGCCATGACCTGGGTGAGAAGCCTGGGGAGTGGCCCCACCTTGTCAGCCTCCGTCTTTCTCTCCCTAAGATGGGTCTCACCCCACTGAACTCTGAACTCTGACCCCAGAGCATGTTTGCGGTGGGCTGGATGGAGTTGAAGGACCCATTGAGGGCACGAAGGCTTCTGGACAGGAGTTTTGCCAATGTCACTGAGCCCTTCAAGGTCAGCCTGACTCCAGTCCAGGGCCCTCTTACTGACCACTCTGCTGCCAGCGTCCGTGGGGGGAGGTGTTGTCCAGTGCCCTGGGGTCCCTGGCACTGACGGCCCCTGACCTACAGGTGTGGACGGAGAATGCCGACGGGTCGGGGGCAGTGAACTTCCTGACGGGCATGGGGGGCTTCCTGCAGGCAGTACTCTTCGGAAGCACAGGCCTCAGGTGAGTGCAGGGTGGCACGGAGGGTGGCCCCCGGCCCCTCCCTTCTCTCACGGCTCTCCCTGCAGGGTCACCAAGGCCGGCATGACCTTTGACCCCCTGTGTCCAGCGGGGCTCTCCAGAGCGTGTGTGTCTGGCATCTCCTACCAGGGGAACAAGCTCAACTTTGTCCTCTCCGAGGACTCCGTGACACTCGAGGTCACGGCCCAGGCTGGGCCCTGGGCCCCTCTGTTGGAGGCTGAGCTCTGGCCATCACAGGTTCGGCTGCCTCTGCTGCCAGGTAGGTAGAGGTCTGAGTGATGAGACCAGGATGCCAGTGTGTCCCTACAGGGCGCCCCTCTCTCCCTGCAGGACACAAGGCCTCCTTTCCCCACTCTGCTGGCCGCATACAAAGATCACTCCCCTAGCTGCCTGAAGCGCTGACTCCAGCAGTTTCCTGGGAGAAGTTTTGAAGACCTGAGACCCCTGCTCCAGAGCCTCTGGGACATCCTGGAGCCCTCAGCCCCCCAGGCCCTCTCCCTGGAGCCCTGCCCCTGAATGACTAGGGCTGCTGGCTTCAGAAATGTCTCCTGAACCCCACTTTTCATCACTGTCCCTGCTCCTCTCCCAACCCTCCCCCAGTCCCAGGCTGTCTGCCTGGCTTGAGCCCCTCCCCAGCCTCGACTCCAATCTGACCTGGCACCCCGCCTCTCAGTGTCCCATCTTGCTCCCCAGGCACTTTCCAGGGCCCCTGCAGCCAGGGCCTGAGTGTCCACACTCACACCCACCTGGACTCTGGTCTCGGGGCCCGTGAGGGGAGTCCCTGGCAGGGTGAGGGTGAGGAGGCAGGGGCTCCACCCCTTCGCAGTTGCCCAGGGCTGTGAGCTACCGCTTTACCAGAATCGAGCTTCCCCTCGGTGCAGCTGTGGTCAGGCTGGACCAGGGGCGCACGGGTGTCGTCACTGACTCCTCTAGACTCCATGTCAGATGGCCTCTGGCCCTGTGGGGTGGGGTGGGCAGCCCGTCCTCAACCCCATGGCCTGTGAGAAGGGAAGGGGGTGCCATGCTGGAGGATAGGACTGGGGTCCCAGGCCTTGATCCCAGGCCAGGCTGTGGTCGGCTGTTCACAGAGATTCTGCCTGGCAGCAGCCCCCACACCCTCCAGCCTGGGGTAGCTCACCAGTGACTTCCCTAGAACGGGGTGAGATGGCATCTGGAGCTGAGACACGGGTGAGGGCCAGACCCGGCACCGGACAACCTGCAGAGTCCAACCAGTGCCGGGAAGAGCTTGCTTCTATAAAGGCCTATACATTCCTCTGAGAGTGGGGTTGTGTGATGTCGAGTTTCCACCTCACCTGCGGGCAAGGGCAGCAGCTTGGGAGCCGGGTGGTCCCATCACGCCGGCCTCCACTCCTGGCTGTGTCCTGCCACTGCCCCCTGGTCGCAGTTGCATACACCAGGCAGAGCACTCCTGGGCTTCAGGCAGCTCTAGGGAATCCCAGGGCCTGTCTCCCTGTCTCCTGTCCTCAGCCCCTCAGGCTGGAACACTCGTGGCCTGAGCCAGCTGCCTCCACACCCAGGAGATTTGAAAGGAGGGTTCTCACGGCCACCCCCACAGAAAGTGTGGAGTGCAGAGGCAGGGATCCATGGACACCAGGCCTCCAGGCCACAGTGAGCCAGCAGCATGCTTGCTGGAGCTCAGAGCCAAGGTGGGCAGGGGCTGAGGGTCAAGTTGCAGACCACAGGCAGGCCAGTGCATGGCTTGAAGCCAAGGGTACCTACAGGCTTTTCACTAAAGGCCCTATAAACACTCTGGCTGGGTGACAAGGCAGATCTGCTGAGGACCGTGGGCCCCTTCTCTCTGCTGTGGGCCAGGGATTGTCCTAATGGGAGTGGACATTCATTTTTTGCAGCCTCAAAGTCAGGATGGGGCAGAGACATCAGAATGGGGTGGCAGGTGGCCCTGAACCCCTAGGATGATGTGGCCTGGTACTTGCTAGGTCTGAGCGTGATTTTATACAGTCACCTCTGTGCATGTGATGGGCCCATGGGGTGAGAGTGTGTGTGCCCACAGGCCTGGCCAGCATCCATCAACCTGCCAAGATGAGCCTGGGGAGAGAGGGCTGCTGGTGACACTTCCCCGAGTGACTTGGCCACACGTCCTCAGTGGCTGGTCACAGACTAGACAACCTCCTCATTGTCGATGAGATCGTGGGGACTGGTAAAATATCCCACCTTTAGGGATATGTTCCCGGCCACACAGAGGTTGATGCCTGCCCCCAGCCTCTTTGTCCAGCCTAGGCTGACCCCTACTTGAACCAAACCCAGGGCTTAGGGTCAGCATGTTGTCTCTATTCCAGTTCAAGCAGAGGTCTCACACTTCCCTTGACCCTAATTCATGGTGGGACTTTCTCCAGGGCCCAACAGGGGCCTGTGTGTCTCCACCCCCAGGTCCCAGCACAGGGCCACACACCCTATCTTCAGCAAGGGTCTCAGGCATGTCACAGGTTGGGGACTGTGTGGGGTCTCCAAGTAGAGCAATAGACAAGAGACCCCTGCCTCTATCCCTGGAAGAGCTGGCAGGCAAAGGGGTCTTCCTGGGGAGGGAGTCCGCGTGCAGTCTTCAAATCCCTGAGCTTCCTTCTGGGGCTAGGACCTCGGTGACATGCTGGGGCCGCACCCCAGCCTCAGCCTCATGTGTGTTTGGGTGTGTGTCCCCAGGTGCTGGGCCCTGCCAGTTTTGCTGTGTGGGAGTGTTGGGGTGCCAGGTGGTACAGGAGGTGAGGTAGTACAGGAACACGTACCCAGGACAGGGGCTCCGACGGGGTTTCCCACATCTACATCCCCATGACTGCTTCTGCCCAGCCGGGTGGAGGAGAGGGGGACGCAGGGGGCAGCCAGGGGCCTTGCCTGCACTTGTGGACATGCATGGATGGTGGAAACAGTGTCCAGCTCCACCCAGGAAGAGGGGGGCCGGGAGGGAGGGAGACCCCCACCATGCTGAAATCACTGGGATTTGAAGGGACAGACAAGGAGGGGCAGCACACAGCCGGGCGGGGCCCGTTCTGAACACAAGCCACCAAACCACAGGCAGCTGGGATCAGAGGCCTGTGTCCCCGACTTCATGCTGAAACACTCAGGCGCCTCCACCCCGTGGCCACAGGCCACCCTGTGGCAAAGTGAAGGGGGACGTCGGGAACAGCTGAGCAGAGCAGGGTGAGGGAGGGTGGGCCTGGGGGAGTCCCCACAGCAGCCACCCCCGGCACCCCCCACTGAAGCCGGGAAGGAGGCCCTGGAGGCATGTCAGGGACCTGGCACTTTTAATTGTGATGGAGGGGGAGCCTGGGGAGTAGGAGGAAAGGGTCAGAGGTAGGAGTTAGGGACCCTCAGGGTTAGGGCCAGGTCCCTGGGGTCTGAGTGGTCAGCACTGGGTAGCCAGGTGGGGCCAGGGACCCTGTGAGAGCCAGCACCCAGCTCAAGGCCTTCAAGGTTGGGGTCCAGGGACAGGACAGGACAGGAGCCAGCCTGTCAGTCATAGTCTGTGTCTTCGAACTTGGTGCTGAAGAAGGCCGCAGAGTCCTTGGCCAAGCGGGAGAGGTGCAGGGCACCGGTCACCACCAGCCCCAGCAGCAGCAGCGGAGGCACCAGCGTCCACATCGCAGCCAGGATGTTGTAACACTTGGCTCTGGAGCCGTATCGCCGTGCTGCCTCCAGATCCCCAGCCACCTTCTGGTCTCGGGCCTGCAGGGCAGCCGAAGGGCCAGATCAACACCTGCCTTGGGGCCTGGCCACAGATGCACCCAGAGCACCCGGAGGGTCTGCACTGGACCCAGGATCGAGGTGGAGGGGTGTGGCCTGAGGGGACACTCTCTGGGCTAGACCCACTTCCTCCATGGTCCCCAGCTTGACACACTGCTTGACACTTGGTGGGCCTTGGGTCCTGATGGCCACCCACCCCAATGGGTGCTGCCAGGGGCGCCTGGCTCCTTGTGTCCAAGATGTGGACCCAGTGGCCATCGCAGGTCAGCATCAGCTCCCAAGATCCCTCTGCAGGCAGGGAGTCCTCTGGGGAGCTGAGACCACAAACCCATAGAGGAACGGAAGCCACCGGTCTCACTAAAGGGCCACAGCAGATGAGAATCCCCCCCGGGGAAAGGGAACTCTGCAGGTAGCCCCATGGACTCCGTCATCATCAAGGGGCTGTCTCCACCTTGAGGAGCAGGGCTTGGCCACAGACGGCACCCCTGAGTGGAGAAGCAGGGGTTCTCTCACCTTGGAGAGAAACTGTGGCCACACTGACACAGCCCCCTTCACAAGCTGCCCCCTTCAAGCCCCCAGCCACTCTGGCAGACCCTGAACTCTCCGCACAGCCCCCAGCCCCTCCTCACAACCCTGAGTCTCCCTGAAGCCCCCAGCCCCTCCCGCCACTTCTTCGGCCCACCTTGATGGAGTGCACCAGCGCCAGGAAGCCGAGGCAGCACAGGTTCAGGTAGAGTGTGCTGAAGGCCGACCAGATCAAGTGGTCGCGAGGCGGAGGGCTTGGCGGTCCCAGCACCAGGGCTGTGTGGGCAGCACCGTCAACCTGGCGGGGAGTGGAGGCCCGGGGGCCCTCACGGGGGTAGGACGTGTCCATGGGTTCCAGCGCCGTCTCTTCCTGGCGGGGACTTGCACTTCCAGGGTGGGCACCAAGTCTGCTTATAGCCCGGCGGCCTGCCTCCCTGCCCACCAGCTCTGCTTGCTAAATATAGCACAAATTACAGCCTGGAGCCTGGGAGCAAGGCGGGTCCTCCTGCACCAGTGTCCCCACCCTCACCCTGGGGACCCAGAAAGACCACTGTCAGACCACTGACCAGAGCCCCCCCCCATGTCCTGGCCACCCACCCCAGGAAGACCCCAAGTCAGACGGCTGAGGGGCAGTGGCTGCCCACTGCCTTCCAGGTCCAGCTCAGGACTGTGGGTGGCCATGATGCCTCAGTCACAGGCAGGAGGCAGAGCCCTCCAGGCTGGGACAAAGCCTCCTCCTCCCGACCAGAACTGCGGACACCCAGCCCTCGCGCCCCAGGACTCAGCCTCCCACTGCTGTGTGAGGCGGGTGGGGTAGGGGCCAGATGCCTCTGTCAGAGAAGGAAGTCTGAGGAGGAAGCTCCAGGGAGAGGGACCCTGAGGCAGCCATCTGGGACTGGCAGTGCTGCCCGGACTGCCAGGAGCCACCCTGGCCTTCCAAGGGGTTGGCGGAGACATGCCCTCGGCCATCCCGACCTCCTGGGCAGGCAGGTCCTCCTCCGCCGTCCTGAAGTGCTAGTGGCTGGGTGGTCCCTCTGGGGCTCAGGGCTTCCTCCTGCTGTCCTCCCCTCGAGATGGCTCCCCAGCCTCGGGCTATAGATGCCTCTTGGACAGCGGCCCACATGCCAGGAGGGACTCTTCTCCAGCTCCAAGCTCACAGGGCCCAGTGCCGCTCAGTTGAGGGGCCATGTTGTCCCGCCTACTCTTCATCAGATGCCTCTGAACTCCCCCGACACCTGCGCTGCCTTCCCAAGAGCCCAACCAGATGCTCAGGCCAAACGCTGACTCCTGCCAGACCCTAGGGCCCACACCCCCACGGGGACCCCCAGAGACCAAGATGCCCAGGCCTCCTCCTGGGGCTCCCTGCTGCAGAGCTAGAGCCCCCAGTGCCCATCGTTGTCCTGTTGAAATACCCCTCCCTCACCCGCCTAGAGCACAGCCAAGGCTCCCCCCTCACTCCCATGACCACAACACTGACCAGCAAGAAACTGGGACGTCCTTCTCGTCCACAGGCCGTGAAATGCAAATTCCAGGGAGATGCTGGGTAGGACGTTTATCAGGGAAGATCCGAGCCCTGTGGAAGGAGGGGAAGAACGGAGGAAGAGTGGCCACTAGGCCCAGCAAGGACCCAAGGTGACCACAGAGGAGCTCTGGGCCAGGGACAACCCATTAGAGACGTCCAGAGTAGGGAGTCCAGGAGATGACTCTGTGTGGGCCACACAGTAGAAGCAGGATGTGACCTGGGAAGAGAAGACTTCAAGGGTCGGTCACCAACAATGGCAGCAGGAGAAAGAACCTCCATCTGTTCATCTGAAGTGGAGGTGCCCACACAGAACTCATGAAAGGCCCACAATGTCCAGCGCCCGCACACCCAGATCCAAGACCGCCCCACCTGGCTCTCTGCTCCCTGTGGCCGGTCTACAGCAGTCCACGCTCCTCCACCAGAGCCTTCCCTCCTGCAGGACCAGACTGGCAAAGGAGCGGAGGGCAGATGGCCAGTGCCTGACCCAGGAGGCTCTGTTCATGGCTCTACCATGGGTGAGAATTCTCTGGCTGGGGGTAGCTAGAGGGGAGCACCCGGGCCCTTTCACCTGGCTGACCACGCTCTGCTGAGTCCGGCACAGCAGGCCACCCACCCAGCGTGGCTTCTGCCAACCTCTGTTGCTCCTGTTCCAGTCACACATGGGAGAAATGGAAAGTGCCTGCTGGAGGGTCTGTGGCCTGAAGCCCACTGTGAGTGGACTTGGGATCTGGACCCTGCTGACCCCTTGGTGCCCCCACACCCTGTGGACCAAGAGCCATGTCGACACTCTGGGTGTCGAGACCCTCACCTGCTCCTGTGTGTCCACTGTGCCCAGCACCTCTGGAGTCCCCTGTCCTTGGGTCCATTGCCCAAGCAATATCCACATGGTCTGTGGGAAGGACTCGGGTGTCAGAGTGTGTCCACAGCCATCGCAGGGCACTGCCTTTTGTCCTGGGGACTCTGCCCTCCCTGGTGGCGGGGCTGCGTCTGAAGCTGAGTGAAGGCTCAGGGTCTGACCCTGGGGGAGCATCGCCTGGTCCTACCTTGACCTTTTCCTCTCATCTCTAACGACAGACACCAAGGGTGGCAGTGATGCAGACACTGGGAACCCTGACCGATGACCATGGAGACGAGACGGAGTCGCACGAGCACAAAGTCACCGCTGAGCCTGCGCTGGGCCTCCGCCTGGGCAGGAAGCGCCAGCTCCA